TGTGGAAGCACATGAACCTTTACAATGCCACCTCCCATCCCGCCTTCTCCCCAGCGAGGATTTGTGAAATGAATGAAGGGTTGAGAAGTGAGTGAACACTTCAGGAAAATAACACAAGGACCTGAAGTGTCAGGAAGCATTTAGCCTGGCTGTGCAGCTCTGTGGCAGTAGAAGGAACATATGATAATTGGGCTGGGAGGTTATGTTGGGAGTATGCAATCTATTCTTTGCATCACTCTGTAGGCATTCCCTGAAGGAGGGAAAGGCCACTTCATTCAGCAAAGAATCTGGAATTCTGGTAGACATGACTCCCCTATCCCCGTAATTACTGCTATCATAGCAAAAGAAGGTAGTGTGTTTGTGAGTGTGTGTGTGTGTGTGTGTGAAAAACAGATAATTATGTGCAGCACTGCAGGTCTAGGATTTATTGGTGAGAAATGCGAAGTTGAACTAATATTTATTAAATCCTCATCATGGGCAGGAAGTTGTTTATCCATGTGACAAGTAGAAACTCATATGATTTATTTAAGAATCCCATAAAGCAGCTTGTTATGGAATGAATATTTTGTCTATTGTCAAATTCAAATGATGAAGCCTTAATCCTTTGTGTGGTTGAGTGTGGAGATGAAGACTGTAAGCAAGTCATTAACATTAAATAAAGTCCAATAGTTAGGGGCCTTATAAGAAGAGGCTCCAGATGATTCTCTCTATGCCAGACCATGTGAAGTTGCAAGGAGAAAGGCTGGAACACAACCGCCAAGAAAAGCCCTCTCTAGACTCTGATCTGACTTCTACCCTCCAGAGGTGTAAGACAAAGAAAGTTTTAATTCCCCCATCTGTGGCATTTTCTTATAGTAGTTGGAGTTGACTGATACAAGGCACTATTTCACCCCAACCTACAAGCAGAAGTGCCTTTTCTAGGTTGCTCAGGTAGTGAGCACCTGCCAGACCAGGCTCTAAGCCAGCTCATCTGTGCACACTCCTACTGGACTCTAGGCAGAGATAAAAATGAAAAGGAATTTGACTTTGATTCTTTAAGAACATAGAATATTGTTTTGCAAGTTTTAATGTTCTATATAAGATCTTATCTCTTGTTACTTTAGTTAGGATAGCCTTACACTAATATTCTCCAATCTTTTCTTAATGAATTCTGTTTTGATGTCTTTAAAACATTCTTAAAAAGCAATGTACAGGCAGCTCATGCCTGTGATTCTTAGCTACTCAGGAGGCTGAGATCTGAAGATCACAGTTCAAAGCCAGTCTGAGCAAGAAAGGCTGTGAGACTCTTATCTCCAATGAATCACCAGAAAACCAGAAGTGGTGCTGTGGCTCAAGTGGTAGAGCACTTGCCTTGAGCTGGAGAGTTCAGGGACAGCTCCCAGGCCCAGAGTTCAAGCCCCACGACTGACAAAAAAAAGTAAATGTTTAAATGCTTTACATTTTTTTCTTACAACTTTTTTTTTGTGCTGGTCCTGGGTTTGAACTCAGGGCCTGGGTACTGTCATTGAGCTTCTTTTGGCTTAAAGCTAGTGCTCTATTACTTAAGCCACAGCTTTATTTCCAACTTTTTGCTGCTTAAATAGACATAAATATCTCATAGACGTTTCTGCCTGGGCTGGCTTCCAGCCTTGATCATCAGATTTCAGCCTTCTGAATAGCTAGGATAGGATTAAGACATGAGCCATTAGGAGGGCTTTTCTACAACTTCTAAAGCTTTGTTTGATTTATTTGCTCCTCATTTTGGGGGTGTTTTGTGATAGAAGGATAGTACTTTGGGTAACCAAAGTACCAGCTCCCTTAAGCTCACTATTTATTATATATCTTTCCATATATAAGTCAGCATCTGGCTCTCTGTTTAGACTTAGTTGTCCGTTTCTTCCTATCAATTTGTGAAACCCATAATTTCCCTCATCCTGTACTTGTCTGATATCGACTTTATGGTTGTTCTAGCCTTAAAATAAGAGGAACAATTTTTTTCTATTCTCTTAGAATATTTTTTCACTACTTATACAATGCATTTATACTTTGAATATTCATTAAATTTTACCTTTAATACCATTCAGAAAGTTGGAATGTTCTGTTTTTTGACTAGCTAGTGCCTATAAATACATTTTGTGTGGTTCATGTAGTAAGTCTAGGTGAATTTTAAACCATACATCAATTTTTAAATAATTTAAAAATAGTTATTAGTCAGAATTTCAGTTTCTTCTAAAACCAATAATAGAAAATATATTTTCTAGAAAATCACCTACATTAGTGATATTTACATTAACCTGTGATAATAGAAGCCCTATTGTATTTCTAGTATCAGTCATAAGTGGGTTTCTTCTTTTTATTTCTGATCATCACCAGAGGTTTGTCTATTTCTTCATAAAGCCAAGTATACATTTTGTTGGATAATTTTTATTTTCCCCTATTACTGGGGTTTGTATTGAAGGCCTAGAACTCTTGTTCCATTTTCTCACTTACAACTGGTGCTCTATCACTTGAGCCATGCCTTCAGCCTGGGTTTTTGCTGAATAATTGGAGATAGAGTCTTACAGACTTTTCTACCTTTGCCTGGCTTTGGACCCTATCCCTTCAGGTCTTAGCTTTCTGAGTAGCTAGGGTTGCATGTACTTGCTATGATACCTGTCTATTTTGTTGATTTTTATTATTGGATATTTTTTTGCCTTTTACTTAATAAATTGCTGTTAATATATTAGTTATTCCCTTTGGTTTTATTCTATTCTTCTATCTTGAGTTATATTTTGGGTCTTCTTTTTTTTGTTCCCAAATATTAGTTTATACATAAAAATAAGGAAAAGGAATGAATGTTTTGACAAGCAGGTAAAGAAAATCTAAAGAGAGAAAAAGATGCATATTTAAGGAATGTAGTACTATTTATGATATAACAAGTATAATTTCAACTATGTATATGTATATATATATATTAGCATAAGAAAAGTTTTCAATTAACCTACTTCTTGGCTAGTTTGATTATAAATGGTATACTTCAAAACTGTGTATTTTTACTGTGGGTCTTATTTTCTAACAACAATGCTTAAGAAATTTTAGTTACCTTAAAAAAAATCATGCAAGTTTACTAAAGTCTGGGAATGTTCCAGTCTCTCATATAAATGCCACAGTATTTGCACAGAACATATGCAATCCTCCTGTATACTTCACATCTCCTCTAAATGACTAATAATGCTAATACAACGTAAATGCTGTGTAAATAGTTGTTGTATTGTATTGTTGAGGAAATAATGACAGAAAAAAAGTCTGCCCACATTCTATGCAGACACAATTTTTCCTTGAATGTTATCAACAGTTGGTTGAATCCATGGATATGCAACCATGATGTCGAGAGCTAGCTCAATGTGATCCTTTGGGACTTGCAGCACTTACTTATTTTCTGACTTACAGTACATGTTTTCCTTTTATCCATGATTTTGCCAAAGTGCTTTCATCTGGATCCCAAAAGCAGATGGATTAACTTCCCTGCATTTCTTCAGAGTTGGCTGGTGGTCCTTCCTCCCCTCTGTCCTTTCTCCTCCCTTAGCTTTATCCTTTATTTAATAGTCTACTCTTTGTGGACTGTGGTTGTATGAACATTGCCTAGGTCCAAGATGCTATTCCCTTCTTGATATACTTTAAAACTTAGGAGCCAAGATAAGGCCATCTATAGCTACTCAGAGTACCCCTGTCTGCTCCTAGCTACAATGTCCATCCTCTTTCATCTCTAGCCTTCACTTTACTTCTGGGCTATAGTAGTTTTCTTTACTCTTTTGAGTGCTATGCTACATACTTTTTAATACATCTATTTACATGTACATGTTATATACACAATGTAATGTATATTATTGTATTATCTAACCTTTGTAGATGTTTATGGTTTACAGGGTAGGTTAGTTTGTCATCATTGCTAGATTTGTTGTGTGGTGTGTGTGTGTGTGTGTGTGTTTGTGTGTGTATATGTGTGAACTCAAGGCCTCATGCTGGGATTTTTCACTTACAGCTGGTATTCTACTACTTGAACTCCCACCTCCACTTCTGACATTTTATTAGTTAGCTGATTTGTCTGCCTGGTTGGCTTTGACCTTGAACCTTAGCTTCTTGAATAGCAAGGATTACAGGTATGAGGTACCAGGTAGAATTTTAAGTATTTCTCACTGACTGAGAATTGTATTGTCTCTTTTATTCCTTCTTTGTACCACCTGATATCTTCTGAGAAATTTAAGCAACATCCTTTATATTGCAGTTATAGGCTGAATTCAAAGCTTGCCTGTGTTGAGGGTAAATCTCGCCATACCAATTTAAGAAGTAAAAGGATCTTCTCTTGGGTAGACCAAAACTATGAAATAGAATCTATTATAAATAAGTCAGTTGCTTCCTATGTGTTTTTCTCATCTTAAAATTTTGCTTTGGAAATAATCCTATAGCATATCACTTTTGAGATTACAATTCAGTTAAGGATTTCCTGGTTAAACAAAAATAGCATTGATCAACAGTCACTAAGATAAACTAAAGCAAGACATTAGAGAGAGATTACAACTTCTATTGCTTAGGTTAGGAGACTGAGGCACAGGGAGCTCAAATCCGAGTAACAGATGATGCTATCATGCCGACCTAAGGATTGATCCCAGCACACACAGTTTTTAGAGTTGATTTTCCTGAATTACGGAATGCAGTCGTATCTGATGTAGCGCCCATAGAGTTTTGACACCTAACAACCAGCATTCCCATTTAGAATTTTTTTTTGTACTCCATATAGTCAGATAACAACGGCTTTTAAATCTTGAGTGCTTTTCCTGACTGTTGCTATCGCAACAAATGAAAGCAATTCAGGCTATGTTTACTGATAATTTACAAGCAAGTGCAGTAAGCAATTGGAGAAGCTGGAGTAGTTAATGTTTTGTAGAGTGTACATAATCCTTCAAGAGCTTGGCTCATGCCTGACTTTCTATTACAAACTAAGCAAGGAATCAAAAGGTTCTTGCAGAGCATGGCTGACTTACCCTTCCCACTTCCACGAGGTTGGTCACCATTATTATGCTTGCTGTGTTCTCGTGCCATACCATCCGCCAGAAGTCATAGACCGTCTCTTGCATGGGCCCTGCCATAAAAACGGAAAAGACTTGGTTTCTCATTGTTACCTTTTCCCCTGGGGAATGTTTTAATTTTTACTTTACTGGTACTAGGGTTTGAACTCAGAGCCTTGTTCTTACTAGGCAGGTACTCTGCCACTTGAACCATGCCCTCAGACATTCTGGCTTTAGTTATTGTTTTAGGTAGGGTCTCAAGTTTTTGTCTGGAGCCAGACCTCCTGTGGCTCCCATCACTATGTCTAACCTGGTGGATATAGGGTCTAACTATTGTTTACCTAGGATGGTCTTGCTTCCCAAGTAGCTAGGATTAAAGATATGAGCCACCATGCCTGTATGCAACTGATTTTGTAAATAAATGTATTCATAGCCACATACAGATCTCAAACGTTTATAGATGAGTACAGCTCTTTAATGTACATGCAAAAAAGTACTCTTTCTAATTCTGCATCTATAGAAATATCAAATCCTTCAATCATGGCTGATTTTTTTTCATGTCATCAAATATCTGAATTTGAGCTCTTTTTATCCCTCTTAAACTACTACCATGAAAGAAAGTTATTTCTCCATCATTTAGCTATTTATCTCCATAATACTCAAGAGTGAAATTTTAAAAAATGGATAACATTACTCTTTCTGCTAACAATTGGCAGATATCCCAGGGAAGTGGTATAGAGAATGAAATGAGCCTCTGTAGGAAAAATGGCCTTTTCTTGTTTCTAATATTTTTCTTATTTGGTGCCATCTGTCAAATGAATCCTTTTTTTCTGTTTCATTTTCTAAAGTGTGAATAGGGTTAAGAGTTGTACTTCCTTTCACTGGACATTATGATTCTGGTAGAGTGTGGCCAGACTGGCTTCCTAACTCTTGGGAATCTGAGCTTTCAAAAGCTCTTTCTTGTATCTTTTTTTTTTTTGGTCGGTCATGGGGCTTGAACTCTGGGCCTGGGCACTGTCCCTCAGCTCTTCTGCTCAAGGCGAGTGCTCTACCACTTCAGCTACAGCACCACTTCCTCTTTCTTGTATATTGGGGGTGGGGAAAGGTAGTGGGGGATATGTATTATAAAATGCCAATGTTACTGATACCCTCAGATGCAGAAATTTAAGTTTCAAATTTCTTTTAATCCAGATTTAAGGTTAAAAAAAAAAACCAATTCTACTTCCTGTACTTGCATCCTTGAGGATATATGAATCCAAGCTGAAATGCAAGAAGAATGAATGCAACAGCAAAGATTTGATGAGTTCCATGGCACATGACACATCATACAAACATCCAGTCTGATTCAGATACAGTATTCTCTGTCACTGGTCTCCTGACATTACAGGTTCTTGGCTATGAAACCCAGATGTTTGAATTTGATATTAGCTTTTGCTTTTTTAGGGCCAGTTACTTAGTCACTGTGAGCCTTAGTGTCACTCACTGTTTATAACAGCTACACCTCTTAAGGTCATTTTGAGAGTTCTTAGAATTAATGTACATGCAAGTATTTTATACATACTAAAGCAACAGTAAGTAACCAACAAGCAATTGAAGACATTTATGGAGGACTGGACACTGAGCAATACTAACACACACATACCCTCAGGTGTCCCCTTCAGTTAGTCCCCTCCCCCATCCCTCCAGATCAATTAAGAATTGGCTCTGGTGTAATTCTTCTTGCCCATCCTCCCCGCCCAGGCACGGTGCACACTGCCCTCATTCCTCCCTTGCTGCTTCCGAGTCCACTCCTGCCCTCCTGCAAAAGTGGACTCAGTTTCCAATGCTGGTGTCCACTCCCTTTGTTAGTGAGACCATACACACCACCTCCTTTGAAGTTACCCCAGCGATGTCAGCCCATCGCCTGGCATGTGCGTGCCATCCTCCTGCAGCGGAGGCTGAAGATTTCAGTGACTTTAATCTAAGGCTACAGAGGGCCAAATAAACATCGGATTCTATCAATCATCATATTTCTAGCTTGCACAGTGGTCCATGCATTGTGTACTTAACAGCTTGTTAGTTATTCATGAGGAAAAAACTGCAGTGCAAATAGTCTTCCCAATGTGACCCTTGAGAAAGGAGGGAGGTCTTCACTGGGTACCAGGCCTATGCCACCTACTCTGAAATTTCCAGAAATTGTTCTGATGACATGGCGATCGTGGATGAGTCAGAGTTTCCTGGCACCCAGGACAGTGTGTACCCGCAGGAAGAAAAGTGAGCTCTCCTCTGTGCCCACAGGAAACTTGGAAAAATCTTATAGGCCAGGAGTCCTGTTCTTATGCACCTTACTCCATCTTAGCAGAAGACACCTCCTGTGGAGGACATGTCTCCTGGTTTATACTGTGACTTCCTCAGTGCTCATGGGATTCCAGGCATGACACGAACTCCATGAATAAAAGAGAATGAGTCTGCCAGGTGTAGGTGGTTCATGCCTGTAATCCTACCAACTCAGGAGGCTGAGATATGAGAATTTATAGTTCAAAGCCAGTCCTGGCAGGGAAATACATCAGACTCTTATCTCTAATTAATCTCTAAAAAGCTGGAGGAGAAGCTGTGACTCCACTGGGACAGTACTTGACTTCAGCAGAAAAAATTAAAGGAAAGCCCTCAAGTTCTCAGTTCAAGCCCTAGTACCAGGGACAAAAGTATTTTCATGCATTTACTGAGTGTAAACTACATTACTGCTATGATGTTATATTGAACACCATACTAAGTAGTAGAGGATATTAATGTCTGATGTTGATCTGATTCTTTCTCAACTAATACTTCCAAGATCACTTACCAAAGTTGAGAACCTAGTACTCTGACTCCTTTCCATTCCAGTTCAGGGAAAGGGGACATCTTCGCAAGGATTCTTCAAAGGAGAGGGATTATTACTTAGTCCTCAGGGTGCTCTCAGAGCACTGACATGGAACTGCTGTTCCTCACCACTAAGCAGATAGCTCTTCTGAGTCTCCCTGTTGGAGGCTTTGCTTCCAAATTTGGATCAGTCCATTACTCTGGGTGGGGAGAGCACAATCCTACTTGCCAATCACTGCCCTCCCTTAAAAAGCAGTGTTTTGTATCTACTGATTAGTCTAAACCCATCTACGAGCTCTGTGAACCAAAGAATCCCATTTCTCTCAGATTCGAAGGAACTTCACTCATTTGTCAAAGTTACTTTCCTTTTTCTCTTACACATTTCAAATTATTTTCAAAGCTGAAAAAAAATATCATGTCTCCTGTCATCAAAACAACAAACTGTACTGGAGGCTAGGGAAGAAGCAGTCTGGTCTTACACCAAGAACAATTAGTTCCTCAGATTGCAATATATGCCTCCCAAGACCACTGGAGTTTACTCAGCAGAAACACAACTCAGTTCCTAAGACAAGGAATACCAAACAGCAATGAAAACCACCTTTTCTCAAGGACTGAAGGAGGGGTTGACAGCCCAGCCTCTGATTCTCCTGGCTCCCGGCTGGAGCCACTAGGATGATCCAGGTGGTGCCTTTATTAGATGTCACACAATGAGCAAGAAGTTATTCTGGGCAGTTGTTCCCCTGTGGGACTCCAGCATTTGAAAAGCAAGCTGTAGCAATGTCAAATATTGGGCCACTACCATATTCCATTCCCTTCACAATAGTTGGTACTTATAAAACTGTGCTGAGAAGATGTGGAAAGAAAAAAGAAAAAGAAAAAAGAGAAAGGCACTAAAAAGCATAAGAGAAAGACATTCCAGGGTGGGCTTTAGTGTGTAAGATGAGTTCTTAGGTTTCATGGGATGAGAGAGATGAAAAGTTATAATTTAAAACCTGGATAGTGATGACTGTTGGTGGCTCATGCCTGTAATCCTAGCTACTCAGGAGGCTGAGTGAGGATTACGGTTCAAAGCCAGCCCAGGCAGGAAAAGTCTGTGAGAATCTTATCTCCAATAAACCACCAGAAAACCAGAAGTGGCACTGTGGCTCAAGTGGTAAGGTGCTAGCCTTGAGCTGAAGAGCTGAGCAACAGTGCCCAGGCCCAGAGTTCAAGCTCTACAACCGACAAAAACAAAAACCAAGGGCTGGGAAGGTGACTCAGTGGTAGAGCGCTTGCCTTGCATGCCTGAGGCCCTGGGTTCGATTCCTCAGCACCACGTAAGCAAAAAGAAAAAAGCCGGAAGTGGCGCTGTGGCTCAAGTGGTAGAGCGCTAGCCTTGAGCTGAAGAGCTGAGAGACAGTGCCCAGGCCCAGAGTTCAGGCCCCATGACTAGACACCCCCCGCCCCCCAAAAATAAACAAAAACAAAAACCCTGGATAGGTGTTCTTTGCACATTCAAATTTCTATCCAGCATGTTTTCCTGTCAACTAAAGCTGCCAAGAAGTCAAGGTCTTTGAGAGCAAGCACTGGCATATTTGAGGTGTGTTTGTTCCTTCCCCTTCCCCTCTCCCTTCTCTTTCTTTAGGAAAACATAAATTCCAATTGGTATTCCATCATACAATCTAACATCTTTTGAGCAATTTGTATTTTTCTAGGACCTCTTGAGGCATTTTAACTTTTAAAATCACCATGCTATGAAATAGTTCTAACTGTTCACTACCATTTTACTGAAAGGAGACTGAGGGCACAGATCACTTGAATAAGTTCTTGATAGTCATACAGGGATTGAGCTGTAAGTCTAAATCTCCACTCTCTCCTCCTCTTCCCTCTCCTCCCATCCCCTCCCCTTTCTTCTCCTTCCCCTTCCCCTCTTTTCCCTCCCCTTTCTCCTCTGCTCTCCTTTTCCCCCTTTCCCTTCCCCTTGCCCTTTCCTGACAGGATCTCACTATATATCTATAGCTGGCCTAGAAATCCTGTTCCTCCTGCCTCACCCTCCCAGATGCTGCGATTAAGAGGTGTGGTTTTGAAGCAAGCACTCTGAATCGACTCCATCACCTGGCCTCTATCTGACTGTTAAGAACAGCTTAGCAGGGTTCACCTAGATACATGGGCACTCTGTAGTTCCCACAGAGGAAAACAGAAGAAAACCCTGTTAGTCACAGGGAAACAGTTGTTAACTGGTTTTACATCAGGTCAC